GGTAACATCATAATGGTGACATGAGCAAGCTTTCCACCCAAATCATGAACAAGGCAAGGATATCCACTTTCTCCACTTTTATTCAGCAAAGTACTTAAAGCTCTAGCCAAAGCAATTAGGCAATGAAAAGAAACACAGGACATCCATATTGGAGAGGAAGAAGTAAATTATCTCAAATGGCATTATCTTATAGGTACAAAGCCCTAAATTAGGTTTTTGTTAGAGCTAATGAATTCATGAAAGTTGCAGAATACAAAATCAACTGTATTCTATATAGTAGCAATGAATAATCAAAAGGAAAGAATCCCATCAACAACAGCATCAAAAAGAATAAAATATTTAGGAATAAATTTAACTAGGAGGTAAGAAACTCATACACTGAAAACTACAAAACAATGCTGAAAGAAATAAAAGAAGACATAAATTAATGGAAAGACATCTCCTTGTTCATGGATTGGAAGACTTAATTTTGTTAAGATGACTATTGTCATCTTATCCAAAATAATACACAGATTCAATGCACTCTCTATCAAAATCCCAACTGCATTTTTTTATAGAAACAGAAAAACTCAACCTCAAATTCATATGGAATTGAAAGAGACCTAGAATAGCCAAAACAATCCTGCAAAAGAACAAAGTTGGAAGACTCACACTTGCAGATTTCAAAGCTTATTAAGAAGCTATGTCATAGCTATATTTTGAATATAGTACTGACATAAGGATAGACATAGACCAAGAGAATGCAATAGAAAGCCCAAAAATAAACCCTCACACCTATGATCAATGTCTCAATTCAGCAAATATCCCAAGATCATTCAATGGAGAAATGGTGTTTGGATCACAGTGCAGGGAAAATGTATTTTCACATGTAAAACAATAAAGCCGGGACCTTAACTCACATCACATATAAAAGTTAACTCAAAATGGATCAAAGACCTAAATTTAAGAGTACAAACAACAAGCTCTTAGAAGTAACCACTGGAGAAAATATGACATTGGATTTGGCAACAACATCATGAATATGATAACAAAAGAATAGGCAACAAAAGAAAAAACAAATTAGACTTCACCAAAATTAAGAACATTTGCACATCAAAGGATGCTATAAAAAAGCAAAAAGACAACCTACAATGCGGAAAATATCTGAAAATCATGTATCTGATAGGGCATTAAAAAAAACAAACTCCTAGGCAGACACCTGGGTGGTTCAGTCCGTTAGGTGGCTGACTCTTGGTTTTGGCTCAGGTCATGATCTCATGGTTCATGAGTTTGAGTTCCCCATTGAGCTCTGCGCTCAAGAGCGCAAAAACTGCTTGGGATTCTCTCTCTCTCTCTGTGCCCCTCCCCCACTTACACACTCTCTCAAAATAAACACACATTAAAAAAAAAACTCCTAAAACTCAACAATAACAAAAACAATATTACTTCATGACTACTAGGATAGCTATAAAAAACTAAAGATTAAAAAAAATAGTAACAAGTCTTAGAATGTGGAAAAACTGGAATCTCCATGCATTGACGATAAAAATACTTTTGCCAGTGTGGAAAACAGTTTTTCAGTTTCTCAAAAGGTTAAACAGAGTACCATATGATCCAGCAATCCCATTCCTAGGTATATATCCAAAAGAAATGAAAGTAGAGACTTGAACAGTTATTTGCACACCAATGTTAATAAGCAGTATTATTAACAATGGCTAAACACTGGAAAATGACACAATGCCATCAACAGATAAATGAACAAACAAAATGTCATCTACATATACAATGCAATATTATTCAACCATAAAAAGTGATATTTTGATATAAGCTACAACATGGATTTTCCTTGAAAACATTGTAATTAGTATGATTCCACTTATATAAGTTACCTACAATAGGTAAATACTGTAAGAATGAATTATGGGGGTAACATAGGTAGATATAAAGTATATGATAACAATAAGAGAAACAGAATGATATAAAACAGGGCTATTATATTTGCATGTTACATGATACAATATGAAATTAAGTAACTGTGGTTAAGAATGCATGTTATAATCCTTAGAACAACTTCCTATGGGGTGGGGGGGGGGGGTGACAGCCATAGCAAAAAGGGCCAGATGAGGAATTAAAATGGAATACTAAAAAATGTTTGACCCAGGGGTGCCTGAATGGCTCAATCAGTTAAGTGTCCAACTACAGCTCAGGTAATGATCTCATAGCTTATGGGTTTGAGCCCTGCGTCAGGGCTGTCAGCACAGAGCCCAGAGCCAGCTTCGGATTCTGTCTCCCTCTCTCTCTGTCCCTCCCTGCTCATGTTCTCTCTCAAAAATAAATATACATTTAAAAAGAAAAAATGTTTGATCCAAAAGACAACCAAGAAGGAGTTGCTGAGGACCAAAAAACAGATGAAGCAAATAGAAAACAAATAGCAAAAAAGTAAACATAAACCAACTACGTCAATAATTATGACACACAAATGGATTACACATTCCAATTAAAATGCAGAGATTGTCAGGCTGGATTTTTCTTTACAAAGCCACACCCAACTATATATTATTATGTATAAGAGATGCACTTCAACTATAATATAGACACAAATAGATTAAAAATAAAAGGACAGAAAAAGACATATCCTGCAAACAGTAAGTGTATGAAAGTTTATGGGAATATATTAGAAAAAGTAAACGTCAAGACCAGGAGGATTACCAAATATAATGAGGAACATTTCATATTGATAAAGGAAAAAATTTACTATAAATGTGTTAGCACTTAATAGAATTTCAATACACATAAAGCAAAAGCTAACAGAACTAAAAAGAGAAATAGACAAACCTACAGTTGTAGCTAGAGACTTTAAGATTCCTTCTAATTCACTGAGAGTACTAGCAAAAAAGAAAATTCAGTGAAGATATAGAGTATCTGAACGATACTATGAATCACCTTAACCAAACTGATACTTATAGAGGACTACACCAATAACTGCAAGAGCACTATCCCAACAACTTTACTAGTCTTTGTGTGCAAGTTTACAAAAATAAGGCAGGTACTAGGTCATAAGTCAATAAATTTCAAAGCACTGTAACCTTAAATGTTCACTGACTACAAAAAAATTAAACTAGAAGTAATATATCTAAAGAAGCCTCCAATATTTAGAAATTGAAGAACATATGTCTAAAATTGAAGTCACAAGGGAAATTAGAAAATATTTTAAACTGAACAAGGAAAATAACAGTATAACAAAACTTGTAGGATGCACCTATAGCAGTGCTTAGATGGAAATTTATAGCTTTAAATGCTTATAGCAGAAAATAAAGTTTTAGGGGCGCCTGGAGGGCTCATTCATTAAGCATCTGACCTTGGCTCAGGTCATGATCTCACAGTTCATGAGTTCAAGCTCCACTTCGGGTGAGCACCAGCCCTGCTTCAAGGGGAACTTGAGCCCACTGGGGTCCACACTCTCTCTTCTCTCTCTGCCCCTCACTCACTTTTGCTCTCTCCCTCTCTCAAAATGAATGAATAATTGAATGAATGAATGAATGAATGAGAGAATGAAAAATTAAATAACTTAAAACTTTTAAAGCCAATGAACAAAATTCACCTTAAGCTAGTAAAAGAGCAAATTAAATTGAAAGCAAAAATAAAAATAAAAAGGAAATAATAAAGAGCAATAATAATAACACAACAGAAAACGAACACTAGAAAAAATCCCCTATTGTTATGTTCGATAAAGGACTCAGGCAAGTTATTACTGCACTGAGGATTCACTATGAATTTAGTAGAATGGACTAATGCCACCATAACATAGACTAATCAATACAGACTAAAGCTTCATTAAGTTATTTGACGTTCAAAGTAATAACCTGTGTTTCAAAAGAATGTGCATAAGAAACCCAGTCAGATACATCTTCTTAGGCCACCAATGACCCAAATACTGCAATGGATAAATTCCCCTGAAGACTTGTACCTTCATAAAAATTCCTAGCACCTTTTATATATTATATAACAACTCAGGGCAAATTAAGCCAATCCAAATGTAACTTAAAAAAAAAAAATCAAAAGCAGTTCTAGGAAAAGAACTAGATTATTCTTCAGAATTTTGTTCTATCACATATATATATATAATAAAAGAATATTAGTAAGGTTTATGATCCAGAAACTGTGTGGTTAAGACTACTAGTGGCCTCAGGGCGCCTGGGTAGCTCAGTTGCTTGGGCGTCTGATTCTTGATTTCAGCTCAGGTCAAGATCTCATGGCTTGGGAGTTCGAACCAATGTCAGACTCTGCGCTGATAAAGGATTCTCTCTCTGCCCCTCCCCTACTCTTGGCATCCTCTCTCTCTCTCCCTCAAAATAAATAAAATAAACTTAAAAAAAAAAAAAAAGACTACTAGTGGTCTCATAATTCCATTAGTTCCTTCTTCCTCAGAAAACTCTCAAATGTTAATTGGGCACCTGACCAAATAAAGACTAGCTTTCTTTGCCTCCCTGTGGTGTTGTGACCTGCAGCTGCACTACCAGTAGGATGAAAGAAAAAACATTGTGTACTTCTTCTAGGAAGTAGCCTTAAAACAGGAAATTTTCCTTTCTCTTCCTATTCTTCCTTCTTGTTTGCTAGAATATTGTTGTGATGGCTGATGCTGGAGTAAGCCAACATCTACAGATAGCAAAGCATCAAAACAGAAGAACTCTAAGCCCTAATGACTGTGGAGTTGACATAATATCATTGGCACTGCCTATACACGAAAGAAAAATAAATTTCCATCTGAAGCCTTTGCTGTTTTGTTATTTCTTATCACTTGCAGTCGAACCTTATCCTAGTTAATACTAACTGAAAAAAAAATTATGCCCTTAACCAATAAAAAAGTGATTTACAAATGAGAAAAGAATTTGTATCACCACAGTCTCAAAAAGGTCGTTCAAAATATTAAGACAGCGAAAGATTGTCAGATGAATTACAGAAAATCTAATGTAACTATAACATCACAAACCTGCTGGGCTAATCAACAAAAGTATACTAACCTGTGATGTTCTGGTATATTCCTCATATAGCCTGTCATACTCCTTACTCTTTTCCTGATACTGAGAATGGTACTCTTGGAGTTTTTTACCTACTGCATCTATGTTATCTTCTTTTACCAATTGATCCTATACAGTTAAAAAAAAAAAAAAAAAGAAAGAAAGAATGTTAAGAATTCTGACACATGAGTTTTTCCACACCTATTTATTTTTAAATTGCATTTATACTTTAAGTCACTGTATTAATATCAAGCATCCAAAAGCACTCAATTCTTTTGTTAAAACTATTATCAGCCTTTAGATCACATCAAAATAGTTAATATTTTAAAAATTAAGAAATGAAGTATAAATAGGAAACATAAGCAGAAGTATTTTTATATAAAGTTAATAAGTACATGTAACAAGCTATTAAGGAATACTAGCCACAGAATAATTTCCAAAAATATCTTACATCTTAAATAGGAAATTTAAAATGACTAGATTCCTTTTTTCTCTTCTTTTTTTAAACTGATAAGCCTGGTAAATTAAAATGAAAAGATGTTAAAAATGACTTGTTGAACAGCTATCAAGAACTTCTGTAATCATACCTGTTGGTATCTGGACACTGGGTACATGAGCTTCACATCAAGTTTGGGATTGTACTGAGCAAGAGATTCATGATGATAGTGGTTAATGAGCTCCACCACAGAATTAAATGTCAGAGGATCAGAAAAGCCGTATTTACCATCGCGATGATAGATCTTTATTAACTTATTATTGCCTCCCTTCCTGTGAACAAAACCACAACTGTAAATTTTTTTTCCAAAAATTCTATCAAAGTACTGCTCTCATATATATTTCCATATAATTATGTGCGTAAAAGTATATACAATATCTTATCATTTTAACAACTATTTCTTTTGTCTATAAAATATCTTGAGTTACTAAAGGTCAATATATCTGACCAGCATTCAGTATCAACAAATTTAACAAAAATAGACACTTAAGAAAAGTAACTAAAATGAAAGTAAATTATATCTTTTATTTTCTGAATGAATTTTTAAATTTAAATTCAATTAATACTTTTTCAGGAAGAACAGAGATAATCTCTTTAGGACCTAAAAATGTGTTTGTGTGTCTGTGGAGGAAAGCAGAAGCCATCTCTGTATGAAGGGGGATGATAAACATTTGTCACACAGAATCATCAACACATTCAAGGTTTTATTGTGAATGCACAAACATCATTAAGCTTCTTGAATGATTATAACTGAGTATTTTAATCTAGAACCTTACATTATTTTATCTTTTATATTTGCTTATAATTCTTGGAAATGACTATTTATTTAGACCATCACAATAAGTAAATGATTCAACTGTCATTCAGCAGTTTTATAAGGTATGGCTTTTGAAGAGCCATTTAATTAGAATGGGGTAATTTGATACTTGAATAATTTAGACCACTTTTGTATACTGAGTCATATCCAATGGTCTCTTAAAGATCATGTGTAACCAAAGCTTAAAATGGCAGTGTTTTCCAAGTCCCACACAGTATAATCAAACCACAGCAAGTTGATTCATTCTATCAAACAAAACACTGTACCATTCCCACTCAACTCTTCTTAAAACAGCATGCAGACTTAATGGGGGGGAAATCTGTCTCTACATCTCTTTCTGCCATGCTATTATACATAATAAATAAGGCACTGGGATTTGCGAAAAATCAACCACAATAGGTTTGAATCTATGGACTGATTTAATAATGCTTATAGAAAATCAAGATTTAGATGGATGGAGAACTATTCCTACAAAATATATATCAGAAGGTCCACCTAATCTTATGTAGTTACTACAAGTGTGCATACCCACACATATACTCACAATAAATGCAACCTGGTCTCTCTGCTAGAGAAAAGTAAAAAGGTACTCATTTATTAAAGAAAAAATTATTTTGAATATCTGCTATGTGGCAGGAACTGTATGAGGTCCAGTGCATATATAGTGGTGAACAAGCCAGACTTCCAATTTAGGAGCATGAGGAACATATTTCTATCTTTAAGTTAATAAAGAAAATGAAGAATTTCTCATTAAGATAGAACATAACAATAAACGACTAGATATATCAAATGGTAATAGATCCTATGGAAAAAAATAAAGCGAGTTAAGGAAAGAGTTCTGGGGGTGCAGGGATTCCTCTTTTATATATGTTGCACAAAGAAAACCACTCTATTCAGATGACATTTAAGCAGAGTCCTAAATGAAGTGAGGGAACTAGCACAGCAGGTAGCTAGGGGAAAAAATTTTCAAGCAGAGGGAACAGCAAATGCAAAGCCCCTGAGGTAGAAGCATGCTTGGAATGTTCAAGGAGCAGCAAGGAGGCCGGTGATGCTGGGGCTGAATGAACAAAAGGGAGAAGACTAGTAGGAGAGAAGTAAGAGATGTTAAAGGAGCTCTATCATGTAACAACCTGTAAGCCATCTTAAGAGCACTGACTTTTACTGAGTAAGATGGGAAGACATAAGAGGATTCTGAGCCAGATGATATCATCCCTCATGCATGTTAAAAGGCTCACTCTAGCTGCTGGGTTGAGAAGAGACCATTCAAAATAAGCAGGGTTAGAAGTAGAAAGATCAGTTGGGAGACTATTAAAATAATCTAGGCAAGAGACATGGCATCCTGAACAAAGAGGATATAGTGAGAAATGGTGGGATTCTGAATATGTTTTTGAAGAGAGCCTATCAGACATGCTGATGGCATGGACATGGATGGGCAGGAGAGAGAGAGACAACATAAAGATGATTTCAAGGTTTTTATCTTAAGCAATTAGAAGAATAGAATTGTTATTTATTGAAATGAAGATGGCTAGATAAAAAGAACATGTTTAAAGGGAAAAAATATTTTGCTTTTAGACATGTTAAGATTGAAATGCCTAATGAACGTACAAGAGTAGACAATCCAGCAGCCTATCTGAAGAATCTAAAGTTCAGGAGAAAGGTCTGGGCCAAAGTTATAAAATCAAGCGCTGTCAGCCTATAGATGTTATCTGAAATGAGTATGGTTGAATAAGAAAAGAGGTCTAAATCCTGAGGTTCACCAATGGTTAGCAGATAGTAAGATGAGGAAGAACCAGCAAAGGAAACCAAGAGAGAGCAATTAATAAAATAAAAGGAGAACTAAGAACATGATATATATATATATATTTTTGAAAGAGACAGTATGAGTGGGGGAGGGCAGAGAGAGAGAATCTTAAGCAGGCCCATACTATCAACACAAACTGACAAACAAGATCATGAGTGAGCCAAAACCAAGAGTCAGATGCTTAACACACTGAGCCACTAGGCGCCCCACCATGGTGTATTTTTAAGACAGCATTTCAACAAAGAGAAAATGATCAACCAGGTAAATGATCTCAGGACTTGATAAAGTAGAGATCATTAAGTGATCTGTACAAAATGGTTTCGATGAAATGGTAAGGGTGAAAGCCTAACTAGAATGGATTAAAGAGAATGAAAGAAGAAAGAAATACCTGCAGACAACTGTCTTGAGGAGTACTGCTGTAAACAGGGAGCAGAGAAATAGGGAAGTATCTGGAACAGCTTATAGTCCCGGGAATTTTCCTTCTTTATTATTCTTAAATGGGAGATAGTATCACGTATTTATATGCTGATGAGAATGACTCAGTAGAGAGACAAAAACTGATGATCATCAAAAGAAAGCACAAGATAATTCCTAAGGGATGTCCTTGAGAAGAACCCAGGGATGGGATGAGATTTGGCTTACAAGTAGTGAGATAGATCTTGGACAAAACTTGAACAGTCATGCACTGGAACAGGAGAAAGGGTATTCACATTCAGGTACAAATAATGCTGATAGCTATGGCAACAGGACCAATGGGGAGTTATAGATATCTTCTGACTACTTCAATGTTACCAGTGAAACAGGAAGCAGTTTCCTTAGGTAGAAGGGGGAAGATGAGTTGTTTAAAAAAAAAAAATATGTGAAATTGTCATCTTGGGGGGCAATCGGTAAGAATCGGACTTTGGCTCAGGTCATGATCTCATGGTTCATGAGTTCGAGCCCCACTCTGAGTGAGCTCGAGCTCTACTTCGGTTGCACCCTGCTTTTCTCTCTCTCCCTCCCACCCTCCTTCTCTCTCTCTCTCTCCTTCTCTCTCTCTGCCCCTCACTCACTTTCGCCCTCTCTCAAAAACAAAAAAAGAGAGGGAGAAAGAAATTGCCATCTAGAAAAGTGAGAGAGAAAACAGATTGCAGAGATGCAGAAATTCAGATAAGCAGTACTAAACATCCACCTAAGATTAGTAGTCATGAATTTTATTCGAAGCCAGTGAGCATAGTGAACTTTTCTCCTCGTTCAGCTACTCAGGTATAGGCAAGGAATAGATAAAGCGTTGAATTTAACAAGGGTAGGAATACAGTTAGCAGACTACAATGGAGGGAAGGAGGAGCAAGTTTATTGAGGATATATTCATAAGGCTAATTTTAATAATAGATCATGGACTCTAAGCAGAGAGGGAAGAAAATGAAAAGATAAAGGAACTAAATAATGGTGAATTTTTAATTATATGTCTCTCTCCCTCACTGTACTCTTCTTCAACAGAAGAATCATTCTGTTCCTTCTTGTATTCACCACCTGGCCTAATGCCTGGCATATAGCAGATTCCTAAAGATTTAACTATCCAGATTTTCAACAATGAATACTACTTACAATTTAAAAAATGGTTACTAAATTGAAAAACTTCTATTTCCTTATCACCTACCCTTTACAGTCTGATTTCACCCTCATTTGAGGGTCACCAACAACTGTTACTAAATTCAGATTCTGCCTGCCTCTACCCTCCACCCCAGGCTCAGATTCTTTGCAGTGACTTGAGATTTCTACTCTCCCTTCCTTCTCCCTCTACCATTTGTTTTTAATATTTTGTTCTCCCATTACTTATATGACATTACAGTTTAAAATTTTTTAATTTACTTATTTTGAAAAAGACAGACAGTGAGTGAGTAGGGAAGGGGCAGACAGAGGAAGAGACAGAATCCCAACCAGGTTCTGTCCTGTCATCATAGTGCCTAATGTGGTGCTCAAACTCATGAACTGTGAGATCATGACTTGAGCTGAAATCAACAATCGGACATGTAACCAACTGAACTACCCAGGAGCCCCTATGACATTACACTTTTCTCTCAGTCTCTTAAACTTTCTTCCTCTGCTCCTTCCTGTTGGTAAACACAGTCTCTAAATATACTTGCCTTCAGCCTCTACCTTTTCTTCCCTACATACATTCTTTCCTTAAAGTCCTATTTATTCTATGTAGATGGTACCTGAATCTTTTTCTAGTTCTGTGCTCTCCTCTAAGCATTAAACCTCCATTTCTAGCTCTAGATACATTTTTACCTGTAAGTTCTGGAGCAGCTAAAAATCAACATCTTTCCCGTGTTCTCTATAAAACAACTGTTTCTGACTTGCCTATTTCTATAAATGGCACATTCATTCTAAGCCAAACAGGGTCAAACCAGTCATCTTTAACTCTCCCTCAACCTCATACCTATTCTATTATTAACTCCCCTGTGCTCTGTTCCATATTGCCTCGTACTTGGATTCCTCAACTCCTTTCCCAGAGCCACTATCCCAGCTAATAGTTATTCCATCTTTCCATCATATCGTCCCCTTGCTTAAAAAACCTTTCTTGGGTTTGATTTTTTTTTTTTTTTTGGCACTTAGAAATAAAATTAAGGGTGCCTAGGTGGCTCAGTTGGTTATCTGACTGTTGATTTCAG